AATTGTATGCCTCAATCTCTACGCTATGCGTGCAACATAAATAAGGCTTATCTTGCAGAATCGTATAAACGCAACGGGGAGAGAGAGCTGGGGGTAATTTTATCAATTTGCCAACTGCATTCAAAGGTGGGGGGAGGGGACAATTTTTTTTCTTCTTTGTGTTTACACTCAAACGTATGGTTAGTTACATAATTACATATGAGAGCGTTATTGATAGTCACATATACCGTTACCTTTAATAATTGTAGAGTAAAGTAGTTTATTACAATAGTAGTTTTAAGTAAACGTAACGTTGCTTATTTATATTAGTACTTACATAACGTTCAGCTTTTTTCGAACGGCTCAGAATTAAATCAGGAAACTTAATTATACATAGTAATAGTTTGTCAATACCAAAAATTAATATTAATATGTCGTAGACATTTAAAAAATGTATTCGAAAAGTTAATCACTGACAAAATAAGAAAAGACTACAGAGCCTTTTATTTTATAATTTGTCGCATCATACTCTTAATTATACTAGATCTGTTGAAGAAATTTATTTAGACCTCGTAAAACAAAAATATGTCAAACATTCTAAGGAGTATTTATTCCAAGTCGACACAATACACTTATTGAGATAAACAAGTCTTTTAATTGCCATTACAGTTCTCAGAACATTATACAACCTGTAGTGTGCTGTGGTTTATGTGCATTCCCCGTTAGCTAACTATGTGACCTTTTTGTCATTATGATTAGTAATAAATATGATGTTTGTTCGTTTGTATGGTCTTTACGTTGTATCGTTTTGGCTGAGAATTTGTGTTACCCAGAGAACAGTGGACGACAAGTCAATTAACAATATTAGTATAGTTACAAATTTATTTTCTCCTTGTATGGGCTTTCTTATATATTAATTGAGTTAATTCTTTTAGTATATCAAATACAAATAATGGTATAAATAAAAAAGAGAGAGAGATAAAGCAACGGTTTAAAATGGTATAACATTTAGACTGCGTCGCTGTCGATAGCCCGGGAAAATCTTATGCATGATCACATAATGCTTATGTAACAATTGATCTACTGCTTATACTATTTGTGTATCGACAAAAAGAATTACGCCAATTTTCTAAGTTCCGGTTATTCCCGTTGTTTGCGTAGATTTGGTATGAATATCCCATTGAAGTTTTATTAAATGACAATTGTAATCGGCAAAAAATAAACAATCTTATTGAACTCGATAAATTTACATTTATCACGCCATTATGACGTATACTTATCGCTCGGCCTATTGTTACTGATTATCTTTTGGAAGAGGATGGATATTAGACGATTCTAACAACACGGTTATACGAAGCTTGTTCATTCCATTCGTTTCTGAAACTAATCAAACTGTTGACAAATTAAGCAATTTGATATTATTTGAGCATTTAGGCAGAAATACTGATCGAAGCTTTTTGCCATGAATTCCACTTTATATTGCGTAATCTTTGCCCGTGGTGTGTTCTAAATAGATATCGAAGGCTATGTATGCTTTATTTATCCGCCAATCAATAATTAAGTCATTATTAATAGCGTCTGCATTCCATTTTGCATTGATGCGATGGTTGCTGTTGTATATAAATGGTATGAATTGTTTCTTCCAATACAACCCATGACTATCACAGAAAATTGGATAATTCCCCCACTAACCATATAAATAACGTTCAAAAGACACATCATATTGTGTACCCGACATCGTTTTCCCCTGAATGACATGACACATTCTTGTTGTCACTGCTACGACTCCCCCATTCTAGAATATAAAATTGATTGGCGGAAGATGAATATAATTTGAACACTTCTTGTTATTATATAATAAATTTAGATCACTATTCCAAGACATGCATTGGATGTTACCAATAAGAACATTCGTACGACAACTGTCATCTTGCAATCTACGGGCAATCTTAACTACGCTCGATTATAATAGGTCGAAACACATCTGTTATACCGATACGCAATAAATTCTTATTATATTGAGACAATAGATACTTACTACACTAATAATTAATAGGCATCAAATGTACGGATAAAGACACGGCTATTTATATAATAGGAAGTATTACGTTTCCTTGTAAATTTCCGAAAGGTATATAATCTGCCATATTCCCCCTCCCCCGTTGCGCCCATAACGATGATAAATAAATTGGACGAACTACCAATTGAACTTAAGGTGAAAATTGCGAGTCACCTGGAAACACTCTACCCTCTTGGTTGTTGCTCACGTGATTGGTATAACATAGTAAATTCGTCAAATGCAAAATATAAATGGTTGCTTAACAAATATGGTTGCATTCATGCACTGTTTCACGCTGTAAGAATCGGTTATCCATTGCTCGATTGTGGAGTGACAGAAGCCTTATTAAAGTATTCACATATTAGTCGATATTTTGTTCAATGTCTCAAACTTGGTTATGGAAAGCATGGTTATTGGGGTAATAATATTTCTAACGACGTATACGAAACTATTATTAATTTCGAGGAGAGATATAGAAACGACGACCGTAATGACATTCTGTTAATTCGCCAAGCATTGAAAGGAATAGGAAACGAAGATTCTATTATAACAATAATCGAAAGCTATGGCTTCATACCCTTTCCGCCGAACCCTATTTCTACAACATACATTTTCGAACGTCCTGCTGCTGAATATGAAGATGCCCTTCCCAAAAACGGCTATACATCAGTTTCTGGATCGATGATAGTGGCTAGGGCGATAATCATCTACCCAAATTTGTTAAATGTCTGGAAAAAGATGGGCTATCACAAAATAACTGATGATTTGGAAAATTCTGTCGTGCAACTCACTCTTCTAGATCTTTATTCAACCGAAGTTCCACCAGTCCGAACAGTTGCTGAAACATTGAGCAGCTTACAATTAATTGGATTTCCATTGACCGACATCGTAATTGGAAATGTTATTCTTCTATTCAAATGGAGGTTAGCTGACGTTGGAGATAGTCTTATTGAAGGCTTTTCTACCGCTCGGGAATTATCCAAGACGGATATACGTGAAATGTGTCTGATTCAAAT